TAGGGCCTACGTGGCCGGATTCCGAAAATTCTTGCAGACAAACTTTACCAATAACGTCATGAACTCAAATATATAATTTATCCTAAATTTCACATCCATTTCGTGGTAAAACTCCAAAAATACCAAATTCTAGGTTTTCTTCAAAATCTCACAATTTTCACTAATTTTCATATTCCAATCCATGTATAATTCATGTATTTAACTCATAATGAGAAGAAATCACTTACCACCTGGTTGTTGATGAAAATGGTGCTCCAAAATCGCTCCCAAAGTCGGCTCCCATGAAGAAATGGAGTAAAATGAGCCAAACCTTCGTTTTTAAAATGACACTGCCTAGCACTTCCTTCTTCGCGATCGCACAAAACTCCACGCGATCGCAAAGGCCAACCAAACTTGCCCATGAATTTACCTTGTGAGAACGCGATAACCTACTCGCGATCGCGAAGCACGACCTGCCCAGGCCTCCGCGAACGCGAGCCCATTATCGCGAACACGAAGGCCAAACTTAGCCTCCGCAGATTTTCTCTTCCGCGATCGCGTGAGTCCTTCCGCGATCGCATAGCCCAACTCTCCCAAACATGCCAACCTCCACAACCTATCGCATTCGCAACTCTGCCCACGCGAACGTGAAGAACAACCTGCTCCAACTCCGCAATCGCGGCTCTCTCTATGCAATCGTGTTGAACAAAAATGCCATCAGTTCACTTAACCTTTCGCGATCGCAATGCATACCAAACGCACTAGAAACCAACAGTTGCACAACATAGAGAAATGGTCCAAACTCGTCCTGAAACACACCCGAGGCTCTCGGGACCCCATCCAATCACATGAACCAGTCCCAAAACATAATACGAACCTGCTCAAGGCCTCAAATCACACCAAATAACATCAAACCTAAGAATTAAAGATTGAAACCTTTCTTAAACTTTCAAACATTCAAACATTGACTAACGGGTCCAAATCATACTTAAACATTCCAGAATGACGCCAAACTTTACGCATAAGTCACAAATCATGATACGAACCTATTTCAAGGCTTGGAACCTCAAACGGAAATTGATAACATCATAATCCACTTCAAATAAAACTCAGGAAATTCTTAAACTTTCAAAATGCCAACTTTTCATAATAAGCACCGAAATGCTCCCTGACCATCCGATACTCAACCCGAACATAAGCCCAAGTCCGAAATCATCATATGAACCTATTAGAACCTTCAAATCCTGATTCTGAAGCCGTTTACTCAAAAATCAAACCTTGGTCAACTCTTCCAACTTAAAGCTTTTGAATTTAGAACTTGCCTTCCGAAACAATTTTGAACTTCCCGAAATTCAATTCCGACTACGTGTACAAGTCATAATTCATGAAGTGAAGCTACCCAAGGCCTCAAACCAACGCACGGCGCACTAGAGCTCAAAACTATCGGTGATCATTACAACATCAAACAACACTGGAATCATGATTCGCGCAACGATTCAAGCCTAATAACTTGTGAACTTCCGAATTCCAAAACTAATGTCGATTCATACCAAAATAACTCCGATTGACTTCAAATTTTGCACAAAAGTCATAAATAACATTACAAACCTATTTGAATTTTTGGAATCTGGATCCGACCCCAATATCAATAAAGTCAACTCCCGGTCAAACTTCCCAAAATCTTCCATTTTCCAACTTTCGCCAATTCACGCCGAAACGACCTACGGACCTCCACATCAATAGCGGACACACTCCTAAGACAAAAATCACCATACGGAGCTATTGGAACCGTCAAAACTCCATTCCGGAGTCGTCTTCACCAAAGTCAAACTACGGTCAACTCTAACAACTTAAACCTCCATCTCAGGGACTATGTGTCCCATTTCACTCCGAAACTCACCCGAAGCTAAAATCAAACACCCCGACAAGTCACATATAAAGCACAGAGGAAGCAATAAACAAGGGATGCTGGCTAATACATTCAAAACAACCGCCCGGGTCATTACAACTTCGGATAAACTAATATATGGGATTTGAACTTACTACGGACAACGAATACAAGGTGTGGGCGAGATATCATGAGGCAATTACAACTATGTAATCCAATAAGTACCCCACTTCCCCACCTTTCTAACACATTCCAATATTTATGCTTTCATTCGATATATACAAAATTATTGCCCCTTTACAACCATCACTTTTGTTCATCAGCTATAGAAGATTTCTCAATAAGAAATTCTTTACTCCCCTCTTACTCTTAGGACCCGTTTGGTCATAGATTTTGTCAATTTTTTTCTATGTTTTTTGGCAAGTACATGTTTGTTCATAAATTTTATCCATATTTTGGCAAATTCCCAAACCCAATACCCAAAACTCAAATCCCAAAACCATGGCCCAAAATATTACTATTACATTTCTTAAAAATTGCCCAAAACTTTTGTATTTTATAAAAGAGCCCACAATTTATTATTTGGTAATAATGTTGATTCGTTTTCTCGGTCATCTGATAGTGTATTATGTAGTTCATTATACAAATGATACTTTTGTACCAAATTTATTTATGCTTAGGACTACGATTTGTGATAATGATAATGAATGTTATCGATGAAAGTATTGTTGGGTATTTGTGATAGTTTTTAGAACTTATGGGTATAAATCATGTTTCATATTTTTTCAAAAAGAAAAGTGAAATATGTTATGAAAACTGATGTTCAAACACATTTTCATCTTCAAATCAAACATCACCCCAATTAATTTTTCAAAACAACTTTGGGAATCTATAGCCAAACGCTAACTTACTGTAATTTCAGCATCATTACTTGTGTTGTTATTTTTTCTACTTTATTTTAATTATCTTTGAATCATCGGAGAATTAAATTATATTAATTAGATGAATTCGATTGTGGCCTAATTCTATAGATTTAATTGATTAATCTAATAATTATTTATTAGGTTAGACATTGAGCAAACAATGTTTTTTTCTGACACGAAGTAGCAGGACAATCAGGTACTAATATTTTGGTGAAAATTTTGATTAGGAAGTTTTCTGGGGCTATTTTAGTAGAAAGCAAAAGTTAAAGGAGAACCAGTGCTATTTCCTTAAAAGGAAGCCCTTCTATGTAATTTTTCGCTCACTGTCTGCCTGCTGTAAAATCGTGGTTGAGTAAGCACATTCACGCAGAGCCAAGTTAAGCAAGAGGGAGAGGAAAAGCGCAAATCTCCCTTCGTTTGTCAGTACACAACCTTTGATTTGAGAGATCGGACATGGCTTCCTCCAAAGAACGCGAGAACTTCGTCTACGTCGCTAAGCTTGCTGAGCAAGCCGAACGCTACGATGGTTAGGGTTTCTCCTCTGTCTCTCTCTTTTCGTAGATCTATTAATGTTTCTTTTCCTTTTGATTATATGCTTGAGTGTGAGTGATTGCATTACTGATTACTCAGAGAACCTTCAAAAAATGAAAACTGATAATGATATTTCTGTTAGTCAGGATATTGAATGTTAGATTTCGCTGAGATGCTATACTTGTTGCTTTCGATGTATTAAACTTTCATGTATTAGCAAAGGACTTAGGTCAGCAGTTTAGCACAGATTAACTTTTGTTGATCCACTTTGTTAAAAGCAATAATAATGTAATTAGGCTCTAATTGTTTATTTACATTATAGGATTTTAGTACCTTTAAGGATTAGTACGGAGATGGTTGATGCACTTGAAGAATGTTAAATTGCTCGTAAAACCTTCAAAAATCGATTTCCAGTTAAAAAAGAACTTTGTTCGTTGAGATGCTGTACAGTTGGTGCTTTTGATGTATTTAGAAGTAATATATTAGCAAATGTATTGTTCTTTGTTGGCTTGGAAGTTCTACACGGATGTACTTTTTGTTGATGTGCTTTGGTTAAATGCAAGGAAAATGTGATTAGGCTTCATGTTTTATGTTAATTGGTTAAAAATTTAATATTTTAATGAAATATGAATTATGGTACAGAAATGGTTGATGCGATGAAGAGTGTAGCAAATATGGATGTTGAATTGACTGTTGAGGAAAGGAATCTGCTTTCTGTTGGTTATAAGAATGTGGTAGGTTCCAGGAGAGCATCTTGGAGGATCTTATCCTCTATTGAGCAGAAGGAAGAATCTAGAGGAAATGAGCAAAATGTCAAGCGAATCAAGGAGTATCGACAAAAGGTGGAGACAGAGCTCACCAGCATTTGCAACGATATCATGGTGGTCATTGATCAGCATCTAATTCCTTCATGCACTGCAGGCGAATCAACTGTGTTTTACCACAAGATGTGCGTGTTCTTACTTCTGTGTGTTGTCAGTTTGAGTTCAAAATATATGCTGTTTTGGGAAATTTAGAACGTCAGAGTTGTTTATTTTGGTCAGCTTGAATTGTCTATGCCTGTAGGAAGGGAGACTATTATCGTTATCTTGCAGAATTTAAATCGGGCAATGACAAGAAAGAGGTTGCAGAGCTTTCGTTGAAAGCATATCAGGTATATGGTTTGCTTTCGACCTGGCTTTTAAAAATAGAGTGGCACAAATGTCAATTCTCATGTTTCCCCCATATTCTTGATTTAAGCTTTTGATCTTGTGACAAATCTTCTATTATTTCTAGAACTGTTTAAAGATATCACTCTCATTGAAGATTGAGTTCTTTGATGCATTTATCCTCCAAAAAATTTGAGTTCTTTGATACAAAAGAAGTGTCGGGATTTTGAATGGGTTGATGTTCTGAGGTGGAAAATGTCACATATGAGAGCGTTAATCCCTTGAATCATTTTTGTTTAACTCTGTTTCTTTGGGGTAACTTTTATTTAATATGAGTCCTTGCGTCTATTTCAAAGTTTTAAAGTATATCTGCTATAGATGGCAATAGTGCTTCTTTGGTTGCTTTTGGCTTTACACTTCGTAGCAATTTGGGGTATTTGGTAGCAGCAAAGACCATTGCAGAACAGTGGAAAATGTGTCACAACTTGTTTTTTTTTTTTTGGGGGGGTGGGGTAGGGGGTTAGAAGTACG